CGCTAAAATCATGAATCGACCTCCAATCCAAGCTTTATGAACTTTAGAACTTCAAACTTCTACTTTCGATGTTTAAACCTATCAAATCACGTCCGATTGACTTTAAATTTTGCACACAAGTCTTATTCGATATTACAGACCTACTGCAACTTCCGGAATCGGATTCTGACCTCGATATCAAAAAGTCAACTTCCGGTCAAACTTCTCAAAAACCTTCAAATTTCTATCTTTAGCCAAATAACTCCAAAATGGCCTACGGACCTCCGAATTCACTTCCGATCGCGCTCCCAACTCCAGAATTACCATACGGAGCTATTCACAGACTCGGAATCCCAAACGGACATCAATAACACTAAAATGCACTTCAAGCCAAACTTATGAAATTTCTTCAAAAATGCTAACTTCCACAATAGGCGCCAAAACGCTCCCGGGTTATCCAAAACCCGAATCGGGCATACGCCCAAGTCCGAAATCATCATACGAACCTGCTGGAACCTTCAGATCCCGATTCCGAGGTCGTTACTCGAAAATCAAATCCCAGTTAATTCTTTCAACTTTAAGCTTCCGAAATGAGCATTCTCTTCCCAAATCAACTCCGAACTTCCCGAAATTCAATTCCGACCACGCGTACAAGTCATAACGCCTGAAATGAAGCTGCATGGCCTCAGACTGCTGAACGACGCGCTAGGGCTCAAAACAACCGATCTGGTCGTTACACGGAATCACTGGAGAGTTTTGCATTCTTTTCACCCTCTTTTGCTCAATTCCACTTCAATTCAATTCAAATCACTTCATAGCATCATTTACCTGAAAATCTAACAATACACACCATAAATAACCTCATATTATAGTTAAAGGACATAAAAGCTAAGGAAAAGAGACTAGATTGAATGGTAAAATCACCACTCATCAGTTACAAGCACAGAAATTAAGGACAGGTAGTCCTGAACTTAGAGTTACAAGCTCAAAAACTAAGGATAAGTAGTCCTTAACTTAGACTTACAAGCTCATAAATTAAGGACAGTTAGTCCTGAACTTACAATAACAAGCTCATAAGTTAAGGACACTTGGTCCTAAACTTAGAGTCGGAAGTTCAAAAATTAAGGACACTTGGTCCTTAACTTAGAGTTACAAGCACATAAATTAAGGATAGGTAGTCCTTAACTTAGAGTTACAAGCACAAAAATTAAGGACATGTAGTCCTGAACTTTGAGTTCCAAGTTCAAAAGTTAAGGACATGTAGTCCCGAATTTAGAGTTACAAGTTCAAAAGTTAAGGACAAGTAGTCCTAAACTTAGACTTACAAGCTCATAAATTAAGGACAGTTAGTCCTGAACTTACAGTAACAAGCTCATAAATTAACGACACTTGGTCCTGAACTTTATGAGCAGAAGGGTATTTTCGTCCGAGCGGGTAAAGTTTATTAAAGCATTGGCTAAAGACTAAAGACATTTTAAACAGTGGCTTAAAAGTAAATACATGTCTTATTAGTGGCTAACTGTGCACTTCCCCCAATAATTTTTTTATAGCAAGTAACAAGTCTTATATTCAAGATTACAAGTCTTATGTATATTTTATGAAGGTTTACTTGTAGATGTCTTTTTGGATGACGTAATAGTGAATTCTTTTTATGCTAATGGTGTATATAACTTAAACCCATCAAATAAGTGTTACCCACTAGTCTCTTATCTTCTATAAATTTGGTAATTTACCGGGTTAATTAATTCTATGATAGTTAATAAGTACATGTTAAATTAAGCTCTTTAATAAGTTTGTTTAGTCTATTGATCAAGCATTTTATTATGTCGCAAATTTTGGTGAAGGAGATGTAAAAAGGAGAAGAAAAAAAGGCAGAGATAAAGTTGTTATTTACTGAAAAAAATGACTTCCCTTGATTGCGCTATATTCCCATTTCCCATATAATACTTCGTGGAACACAGACTAATATGACAGAGCTTAATTTAATTTGTTGATAAAGATTACAGAAATAATTACTTAAGTGACTGAATAATTATTTTTCTATTTTAGTCCTAATTTTTTGTCTTTTTATGCTTCTTTACTTCACTATCATGTATTTCTACAAGTTGATGAAGGATAAATTGTCTAAGAAATTAAAGGAAGTAATACAAGTTGTTATAAAGAGGTCTGACCGTACTTTTTATTACTCCGTGTAAGATGATGTTGGCAACATAGATCTCTTTCGTTGAGTATCGTTGGAAGGAAGTGAAATTAGGAAAGAGATTTTCTGATTTATTCTATATTCTTTTCCTTATTTTTATTATTGTCCTCATACCCTCTAGCTGTCTGGTTTTTTAGTCTCAAATAAAAGAAAAATGTGATTTGTTGAGTAGTAGAAGCAAGCTGGTTTTGATACTTCAAGTGTCTTCCTACTCCCTCTACAAGTTTGAAAAGACAAACATAACAAGAATTGGTCCCTATCCTCAATCCTACCATCCAATATTCAAAGTCCTCTAATAAAGATATTTGAAGAGAAGATTACAATTAAATACAATTACCAATTGGTTTAAGCAAAAATAAATAAATTTGGTTGTGACATACTTGGGAATGTCAACTAAGCAACCAGAGGCGGATCCAGGATTTAAAGTTTATGGGTTCCTGTCGTAATCTCAAATTAGTATACATAATAATTGGGTTCGCAGTTAGATATTTATAAATATTTAGTGGAGTTTTTAATGGAAATAGAGAGTCTACGCAAAAGTTACTGGGTCCCCGAGAACCCAATTACTGCACTCTAGATCCGCCACTGTAAGCAACCACCTCTTAATGAAAATATACAAAAACAAACAAATAAATAATAATATTCCCCTTTACCATTACTATGCATAGAAAAAAAAATTAAAATATCATGTCAAATTTTGAATTTTGAATAAAAACCATCAAGTTTGACAAAATTAGTGAAATTTTGAATAGTAATATATTTGAATGTTCCAAAACAGAACGAATATCTCATAAAACAAAAAGCAAGGAAATAGTACTAGCTAGTCCATAGTAATTAACTATTTATGTTGGTCTTCTAGCAAAGGGATGTTTTCTCCACTATTTTTTTCCCCGGTCATTTCCGTGGGCAGATGATTTGAGTCAAGTTCTAACTTTTGCTAAGCTAGAACTTGACTCGCTATGGGATTTCTTTTAAATACATGCATATATAGACTTATGCGAATTATAATGGATTTTTTTCTTGTAGTACTCCATTTATAAATTAAGATGCTAAACTTTCGAAATTTAAAAATTACAGAGTGGTAAAAAGGTCACATGATTATCTTTTGTAAACTTTGAATGACAAATATACAAGTGGAAATTAAGGTATTCTAAAATCAATGACATGTTCTAGAACCTCACAGTTATGTAATATGCTGACAGTCTAGCTATTTTATTATCATGAGTACAGTAATTGTTGTTGAATTTATTCTCTGAGTTGTACCAGCAATGAAGGATGTATTCATGTTATCCTTGAATTTCCTAAGGAAGATTCCACGAGATAAAAAATTTGAAGAAAAAAAAAATCATAATTTTGTCCAATGAACTCCATATATCAAAATTATGTTCGCACTACGTAATTAAGATTACCAGGATATTGGATCGAAATGGATTTAAACGCAATGAAATGAAACAGGTAACTATATCAGTTTGATTGATGTATAGTTGTTACTATTTGTTTATCTTGCAAGATTATGTTGAAACTTGCTCAAATACAGAGATCACCAAGGCCTCTAACGGTGGAAGATTCTAGAAGGAAATGTGAGAAAGAAAGTCGGTGCATTGAGGAAATGTTCAAGCCACTGTTCTATTGAACTCTCTGCTTCGTTATATACAAGAAGCTAAGAAGAAGAAGACTAGTAAAACTGTAAAAAGACTAATCTACCCTTTAACTTATATTAACAGCTATAACTACCATTAGCTATCTAACTAATCAGCTTAACAACTCAACTAACAAACTAACAAGTCACATGTAAATCATGTGACACTACAATATGCCCCCTCAAGTTGGAGGGTGCAAAATGTGGAACACTCCCAGCTTACCAAGCAAATGAACATGTTGAGCTGTTCCCAAAGCTTTAGTCAGTAAGTCTGCCTGTTGCTCCTTGGTATTAACATGTACTGCCTTAACTATTCCTTCCTTGATCTTGTCCCGAATAAAATGGCAATCAATCTCTATGTGCTTGGTTCTTTCGTGAAGCACAAGATTTGCTGCAAGTTGGATTCCTGACTTACTATCACTGAGAATTGTGACTGGTTGAGTTATGTTCACACCCAACTCCTTGAATAGACCAAGTAACCATGTTACCTCAGCAATGCTGGCTGCCATACTCCTGTATTCTGCCTCAGCTGAAATCCTTGAGACAATTTGTTGTTTCTTTGACTTCCAAGAGATCATTGAATCTCCAAATTTGATGACATATCCAGTAATTGACCTTCTAGTATTCAGACATGCAGCCCAGTTAGAGTCACACCAACAGGTAAGAGTCTCTGCATAGTCAGACTTCATCAGAATCCCTTGTCCAGGAGCCATTTTCAATTATCTTACAACTCTTAAACCAGCATCCCAGTGAGACCTTTTTGGTGCTTGCATAAACTGACTCAATGCCTGCACTGCATAATTGATGTCTGGCCTGGTAATGGTAACATATAAAGCCTTCCTACTAACCTCTGATAAGCACCAGCATTCTGCAAAGGTGGATCCCCTGTGATTCCATTTGCTTGATCATATTCTATTGTTGTCAACTTGGAATTCACTTCCAATGGTGTGCTAGCAGGTTTGGCACCACTCAGCCCCATTTCTGAGATTAACTCCAATATGTATTTTCTTTGATTCAGCAACACTCCACCTTTAGATCTTAGAACCTCAATACCTAGAAAGTATTTGAGTTCGTCTAGATTCTTTACCTTAAAATTCTGATGCAGTATATCCTTGGCTTTCTTCACTAGTGTTGAGCTACTTCATGTGATGAGGAGATCATCCACATACACTAAAATGATTACTATTCCTTCTTGACTTCTCTAAGTAATGCTTCAGTCAGCTTGATATTCAACTGTCGAGAGGCCTGCTTAAGTCCATACAAGGAGTTGAGCAATTTGCACACCTTCTGCTCCCCTTGTCTTCTGAACCCCTCAGGCAGTTCCATGTACACTTCTTCATTTAGATCTCCCTGCAAGAATGCATTATAGACCTCCATCTGAAATAGGTTCCAACCTATTGATGCTGCTAGTGAAATGACAGATCTCACTGTGACCATCTTTGCCACTGGTGAGAATGTGTCATGATAATCCAAACCTTCCCTTTGGTTGTATCCTTTTGCTACTAATCTTGCCTTAAATCTTTCAACTTCTCCATTTGCCTTGAACTTGATCTTGTACACCCATTTGGATCCAACAGTGTTCTTACCTTCTGGTAAGTTTACTATTTCCCATGTTTTGTTATCCTATAATGCCTTTACTTCTTGCTTCATAGCTTCTATCCACCAGCTGTCTTTCACTGCTTCCTTAAATGTCAGTGGTTCTGTTAGTTGAGAGAACCTAGCCAAGTAGCATTTGTAGCTTTTACTAGTATGATCATAAGTCAGGTAGTTGGAAATAGAATAATTGCAGCTGGTTGTCTTCTTTGTTGTGACACAATCTTTCATCCATATTGGCTCCTTAACTTGCCTTGTAGACCTTCTGTCTGGTCTGGAAATTCCCTCATCAGCATTTTCCTGCCTGTTGGCTGAAGTCTCTGCACCTCCTTGATGTACATCACTTTGTGTACCTGCATGAACAACATCCATATTGTGCATATTTTGAGAAGCTTCCTGCATATCATCACTGTTTATCTCCTGCAGAGTTGGTAGATGCTCCAGTGGCTACATTTATGTTAAGTCTGGTCGACCACTTTCCCCATTGTCTTGTAGACTCATGTCTCCTGCTGTTGGGATTGATGCACTTCTATCAAGTGTGTTGTCACCTGGCTGTGTGTGTAAAGGTGAGAATTGCAGTATTCCTTGCTCCATGTGCTCCTGTGAATCATGTGATCTGCTTTCATCCTTCTTAGAAAAAGGAAACTTTGATTCCTTGAATATGACATCTCTACTTGTAAAGAATTGCTTTGTGGCAAAATCAAGCAGAATGTAACCCTTCTGTTTCTCAGAGTACCCCATGAGAATGGCTGCCTTGGTTCTCTCTGCAAACTTATCTGTTTTGACTAAATTTGTTGCATAACACAAGAAATCTATTGTTCTTAAATGTGCAATATTAGCATTCTTGTGGTACAACAACTCATATGGAGTTTTGCCCCTTAGAGCACTTGATGGCAACCTGTTAATCAAGTATACTGCTGTCTTAACACACATCCCCCAGTATCTGTTTGGAATTGAACCCTGAAACTTCAAAGCCCTTGCAGTGTCAAGTATATACCTGTGCCTTCTCTCCACTATGCCATTCTGCTGTGGAGTGTAAGGACAGCTGCTTTGATGAATTATACCAAGACCTGTTAAAAGCTCAGAACATTGTGCATTAAAGAATTCAGATCCATTATCTGATCTTATCACCTTAATCACAATACCAAACTGATTTTGAACCATGGCAATGAATTGCTTTATTGCCACTATTGCTTCAGATTTTAGCTGTAAAAAGAACACTCATGTATATCTAGAGTAATCATCCACAATTATTAGGAAATATTGTTTCTTATCAAATGTAGCAATCTTATAGGGTCCTCATAGGTCCATATGTACAAGACGAAATGCTACTTCTGTTCTAGACTTGCTTAATGAAAACTTCAATCTAGTCTGCTTTGCTAGTGGACATACCAAACAATTTTCATGTGATATTTCACTGTTTTTATCGTTTAAGCCTACTACATGTCTCATTGCTGATGCAGATGGGTGACCTAGCCTGTTATGCCAAACTTCACTTGAATCTCTGCTTGTCATGCTCACATCATTGAGTGCATTTATTCTGTTAACCAATCCTCTGAGTACCTACAAGCCTCCTCTTTCTTTACCAATCCCCTTCACCTTGCCATTCCAAAGATCCTGAAATACACAGCAATCAGGAAAGGAATTGGCATTACATTTCAGTTCCTTTGTTAACTTTGCTACTGAGAGCAAGTTAAACTTGAAATTAGGAACATAAAGCACATCTTTGATCTCTCTCTTGTCTAATAGAATTGCACTACCAATGTGAGTAATATCAGCTTGCTCTCCAGTTAGAAGATGTACTCTATCCTTATCAGTTTTCTTTGTGCATTTAACATCTGATAATAACTCTAAATCAGAGGTGATGTGATGAGTAGCACCTGAATCTACAACCCATTCCTTCTCCTGTGATTTTTGTGTTAAATTGCTCATCAGACATTTAACCTCACCTGCTCCTCCACTTGTTCCTGGACCTGCCATGTTTGCCATGCTTGACTCAGGATGTGACTCCTTGTTCAACAGATTTAGAATCTGATTGTATTGGTCATTTGTGAAGTAGTGATATCCCTTGTGCTCAGCAGCTCCAGAGGGGCCATCACCCATATCCTGCATAAAAGATGTACTCACATCTGCATTGTTAACCATAGCCATAGGTTCTCTTCTCCAGCCACCTGGTTTACCAGCATTACCACCATTTCCACCTTGCTTACCAACATTATGATTTTTCCATCCAGATTTACCATTATTTGTCCCATTCCAAACATTTTGATTTCCAGTGCCTGAGTTCTGTTGCCATTCACCTTGAGTCCTTGTTCCTTCACCATATCTCCTTCTAGGAGTATAATCAGTAGGATAACCAACAATCTTATAATAATTTTCCTTAGTATGTCCCTTAAGGTGACAAAAATCACATTGTAGGTATTGTCTCCTACCTCTTCCTCGTCCTGCTTGCATAGCTAAAGGCTCTATCTTATCAGAAGTTACAACATTCACTCCTATTTTCTGTTGAATCTTATCTTGAATAATCATAGCATAGGTTTGATTTAGACTAGGTGCATTTGTTTTCATAAGAATTTGTCTCCTAGCTTGGTCATATGACTCATTCAAACCAGATAGAAACTGCACAACTCTTTGTTGATGTAAATTTTCTGCCTGTTCTTTCGACTTTTCACAGCAATTAGGAAATGGAACCAAAAAATCATATTCATGCCACAATTCCTTTAATTTTGAAAAATATACTGAAACAGAATTCGTTCCTTGAGATAATGTAGCAATTTCACGGTGCAATTGAAAAATCCTAACACGATTTACCTTGTTGAATCTCTCTCGCAGATCTTCCCATACTAGATATGCATCAGACGCATATACAACTCCACCTAGAAGCTCCGGTGCCACATTGTTCATAATCCATGAGAGAACAATGGCATTGCACGTCTCCACTGTTCAAGCAGTTCTCCTTCATACGTACTTCTGCTGCATCTACCAGTAATGAAACCTAATTTCTTCTTCCCTAAAAGTGCTATTCTCATAGATCTGCTCCAAAACCCATAATTCTCCGAGCCTGTAAGCTTCACAGGTATCACGAGTGAGCTAGGATTATCAGAAGGTTCAATGTACAGTGGATGATTGTGATCAATCGTCACAATCTCCGGCACGGACGAATCAGACTTCGGCATGACTGAAAATTGACGAGCTTCAACATATCTCGATCAAACGATGATGAAAGCAAAAGAATAATTCAGAGATCTAGCGTGACTTAATCCAGATACGCTGCTCTGATACCATGCTCAAATACAGAGATCACCAAGGGCTCTAATGGTGGAAGATTCTAGAAGGAAATGTGAGGAAGAAAGTCGGTGCATTGAGGAAATGTTCAAGCCACTGTTCTATTGAACTCTCTGCTTCGTTATATAAAAGAAGCTAAGAAGAAGAAGACTAGTAAAACTGTAAAAAGACTAATCTACCCTTTAAATTATATTAACAGCTATAACTACCACTAGTTATCTACTAATTAGCTTAACAGCTCAACTAACAAACTAACAAGTCACGTGTAAATCATGTGGCATTACAATAAAACTCTTCCACAAGGATCAAATTAACATATTCTTTTACCAATTAATATTTTGACAGAACATAGAAATTGTCTTAATTGAACTGGATATATATATATATATATATATATATATATATATATATATATATATATATATATATATATATATATATATATATATATTGAAAGCCTTATATTAAGAACATGGTAAAAATATGCCCACATCTGATTTTCACAGCAAATCAATTAACTGATACAAATTCTCACTATAATTTGTAATCGCTAAAGTTAAATTGTTTGATTTGGTGTAAATATCGAATACAAATAAATATTTCAATATAATGCCATCTCTCCCTTAGCGAAGAAAAGGAAAAGAACAACGCAGAATGTGAAATATTGCTACCACAAATTGTCAAATGTATTAGAGAAAAAAAAAAAAAAGAAGTTTGACAGATGTAGTCCTTGACCAAACAAGCTAATTACTAGGTAGTAACTTGTAAACCCCATCGGAAACTTACTGGTAACAAAGTCCTATATTCCAATTAATAATTAAAGGTTGTGATTAGTTGGTTGGTACGTGTGAAATGACATACATTCATACAACAGTTTGATTACCTTATCAGGGTTGACCTCGATCCCTCACTGCGACACCAGGAAACCTAGATATTTTCCCGAGGCCACGCCGAATGCATATTTTTCGGAATTAAGTTTCATTTTGTATCGTCTGAGTATGTCGAGAGTTTCTCTTAAGTGGTCCATGTGATCTTCTTTCCTTTTGGACTTGACCAGCATGTCGTCTATGTAGACCTCCATCGTTTTACTGATCTTTGAACATCATTGCCATCAACCTTTGGTAAGTAGCCCCTGCGCTTTCAACCTAAAGGGCATGACCCTGTAGCAGTACGTCCCATGGTGGGTGATGAAGGTGGTTTTTTCCTGGTCCTCTTCTTCTATAAGGATCTGATTATATCCTGAATAGGCGTCCAAAAAGCTCAGCAATTCATGCCCGGACGTTGCGTCGATGAGTTGGTCGATATGAGTTAATGGAAATGAATCCTTGGGGCATGCTTTATTCAAATCTATGAAGTCTACGCACATTCTCCATTTTCCATTCTTCTTTTTCACCATGACCACATTGGCGACTCATTGGGGGTATTTGACTCTCTGACGGAGCCGTTTTACAATAGTTTTTCCACTTCTTCGCGTACTGCATCATTGATCACAGAGTTGAACTTACGCCGGACCTGCCTCACCGGGGGTTGAAATGGATCAACGTTCAGTTTGTGTGTGGCGATTTCCTTTGGAATGCCTAGCATATCTGCATGGCTAAAAGCAAACAAGCCCGCGTTAGTAGTTAAGAATTGACGAAACTTACTCGGTTCCTGAAGTTTGCAACCGATGTAAGCCTTCTTGCTGTGATTGTTGCTATCTAATTGGACATGATCAAGGTCTTCTATGGTCAACCCGGCGGGTTCGACCATATCGGGGTCTCTAATGATGTCCTCGCTATCATCACATATCGACCTCAACCCTGTTGATTGCTATGCCTCTTTTTTTTTTTTTGACCTTCGCTTGTTGGTTGACCGTGCAATCCAATGCGACGTGGTAACATTCCCGGGATGTGCGTTGCTCCCCTCGTATAAGATGGAAGGGATGACTCTCATGGTGTGTATCCATGGTCGTCCTATTATGGCGTTGTACGTGTTACATCCCGTACTTTAATATTAGGATAAGTCGTAGTAATCCATATGAGCTTATAGGGATTAAGACCATTCATGAGATTATAGAGGATTTGTGACTGTGTTATTATAAGACTCCGTAAGTTTAACAACCTTGATACCGTTAGATATTATGATAGTGTGGTATTTTCTTTTAAGTGGAGTATTTTAGTAAAAGTTTTATAAGTATAATTTTGGATAGTTACCATTATTACTATTTTCGAATATGGTAAATTATACTCATAATATGAGAAAGTTTATGAGATTTTCTTTATTGTAAAGATAGAAATTATTTTCGCACAAGAAAAGAAGGTTATCTTTTTACTATTTTAAGAATTAAGCGTACAAATTTTTTTACTCTTTATATGAGATTAGAAAAATTAAAAGTTGAGAAAATATGTGCATTTTCTTACATGGATGTTTTAATGAAATATAAGTGTGTGTATTTATTTTATATGGTACCACATGACCATGATAGTAGGGACATAAAGTATGTTAAAAGTGAGTAGTATTTTAAGTAATTTGAGATAATTCTTAATTATGTGGATAATTGAGTAATTAATAAATTTTAGTGGGAGATTAATTAAAATATTTGGATAATTGAAGAACACCACGTGGCAGCCCCTCCCTTTCAAAGTAATGACTCTTAAATCATATTACTATGTGGCAAAGTCTAAAAAAAACGTGAGTTCACATCAATAGCTGGTTAGCTGACCAAGGCTGTTGATAGCTAATCATTTTTATGCCATTAAAACCACTTTATAATAAAATAAAAAGATTTCAGATTGAAGTGCTGCTTGTGTGTTTATGGTATGGAAACTACTAAAATTGGTTGAGTGTATAACGGGCCTGAAAACTTTGCAGGCTCGGTAGGGCAGTGTTGTCAAATGGTACAAACCATGTTCGAAGAGACACTCTAATTAGAACTGCCATTAAAAAATCTGTCTTGGTTTATTTTACCTTATCATTGTCCTGGTTTTATTGAGATAAGCCTACAGTATGTGGAAAAAAAGCAAGTATTGGGAGAAGGTGAATGCATGCCATGGGTTGATTGGAGAAGATCAGAAGATCTAGGATTGTTTATGGATACAAGTAGATAGTTGGCCTTAAAGGTATGTTAAGACTATCCCTTATTTCTTTTGGCATGATCCAAATAACGATACGTAAACAAAATGCTATTCCATAAGTGGTTCTACTCTTAGCTGTTAAGGATGTCTATGTAACTCATTCCTGTAAAGTGATGTTCAAGTATGTTTAAGCATATTCCTAAGTCCTTAATTATATGCTAGAGATGTTAATGCTTATAATATAGTGATATATGTACATGCATCTTCATGCATTTACCACCGTGCTACGGCCGGTCGGGCAGTTACCACCGGTTGGGCAGTTATATATGATTATTTACCACCGGTTGGGCAGTCATGCATATTAATTTACCACCGAGCTACGGCCGGCCGGGCAGTCATGCATTTACCACCGAGCTACGGTCCGTTGGGCAGTTACGCATTTACCACCAAGCTATGGTCGGTCGGGCAGTCATGCATTTACCACCAAGCTACGGCCGGTCGGGCAGTTACCACTGATCAGTTGGGCAGTCATGCATCATACGATATGGATAATAGAGATAGTCTCAACGAGAAGCAGTATATTTATATATATGTAATTATAATAAGTATGCATTTACAGTGGCACTTCAGAGATTCAAGTTGATTCTTATATGTCTTTAATTAATGTTGACTTATTGTTACGTTTCAGTTCTGCCTTACGTACTCAGTTATTCGTACTGACGTCCTTTTGCTAGGAACGTTGCATTCATGCCTGCAGGTATAGATAATCAGTTTGACGAGCCCTCATAGTAGACGAGGTCAGCATTCAGCGAAGGGTCGGTAATACTCCACTTCATTCGGAGTGCAACCGAGTCTATGAGTTATCGTGTCAGAGTTTTGCTACAGACTTATGGGTAAGCCGGTACCCTGTTCCATTTGATGTCAAATAATCTTAGAGGCTTTGTAGACAGAGGTTCATTTTGTATAGTACGTCAGAGGCCTTGACGGCCCATATGTATACATGTTTAAATATGATGGTTCATGATACGGTGTTTGCCCACTTATAGTTATACATTACGAGTTATGGCCATGTTAGCCCATGATAGTTACAAAAGGAATGAGTCCAGCTAACTCGAACTATGTACGTTCTTGTTTTGGTCGAACGATCATGAGTCACAAAGTGGTTCGCTCGGGCCGGTGCAACATCGGGTGCTAGCCACGCCTCCCCAAGTTTGGGGCGTCATAGTACGTTGTGTCTTGGTACATGATATGGAATGTGGTTTCTAGAGTGACACCGCTTGCCAGGACGGGGAGTGTGATTTCTCTAGATGTTCGCTCAACTACATTGTTAAAACCTGTTAGTGTGATGCAATGCGGCACTATCTTATCTTCTAATTTCATTTGTGCAAGTACTCGAGGGTGGATAATGCACGCGCCGCTCCCATCGTCTATCATAATGTGTCTCACATCGGTATCAAGGGCATCATGGTGAGGGAAGACCAAACCATCGGTATCTGACTTATCGAAGGTGATACTTTCTTCGAGTTCGTCATACCGTTCGTAGGTGATCGACCGTTTGAGCTTGTGGGTTGTGGTGGACTTCACGCTATTGATAGAATTATCGTTGCCCCCGCCGATAATCATGTGGATGGTGCGTGTTGGCGAGGGTGGTTTCGGCGATCCCTGATGTTGTTCGCATCCTCTGGCAAAGTTGGTCCTTCCCTGGTCGCTCAGCAATTCTTTGAGGTGTCCCTGTCGAAGCATGTTCACGACCTCCTGTCTTAAGGCGATGCACTCCTCGGTTTTATGTCCTCGTTCTTGGTGGAACTCGCAAAGGGCATCCGACTTTCTGTTACTCGGATCTGACCTTATCTTTTGTATCCACTTCACCTTTGGTCCGAGCTTCTCCAAGGCGTAGACTATTTCTGTAGGTGACACACAAAAATTGTGAGCAGATAACAAAGGGGGCATACCTCTTTCGTTCTGGTGAGTTCCTGTTCTTGATCTGGGTGAGCCCTCTTCGTGGCGGGAGGAGGACGCAATGGCACTTCTGACATATGGTAGATGTCGTTCCCTGTTGGGTCGCGGAGCTGCGAGGTCCCTCCTGATTTCATTCCTTCGATCTTTTCTGGATTCGGCTTGTACCGAGGTCAATCGATGGGCCGGCCCATTGAGGTACAATCGCCTAAGCGGATATGTACCTGAAACGCACAAGGGAAACAATAAGTGATTGGTTTAAAGAAAAGGGAAAAAGAAGTAGTAGCTACTCAGAGTTCGAATCGGCATGATAGGTAGCGGCGCCTACGACACGAAGCTTTAAACTATGGCCAAGTTTAATATCAAAACAACAATCTCCATTGCTCAAAGTTTGCAAATTTGAACTTCCTTTGATGGTGCTTCGGTGCGTGAAAACAGGAAAAGAAAAGTGTGAATTGTTTGCTATGAGACGAGGCCAGAAGTTAATTGTTCTTGTTAACGAGGTTCTACTATTTATAAGTTTCTTGAGGCGGTAGAAGTATAAATCTTTTGGTGGGACTCAACTTAGACTTTTCTAGTATGACCTAAATTAAATTTGGAGGAGTTAAGTTGCTGTTGACAATTCAGAATCCTTGGGTTCATATGACTCCCCATTTTTTGGCGTTATCTGTGATTTTTTTTCTATCATGGTTAATGAAATCATATTGGAGTTTTACATGGAGTAGATCTCTACAACATCACAGGGGGATCGGGTCATTTTTTAAAACCAAAATCTTATCTAATGCAGTCATAGAATTGGTTAATTTTGTTGTCACACATTAGTTGCCATGCATTATGATTAATTTCAAATACATTGGGTTAGTGTATACTTCAAGTCAAGTCTTTAAAACTATAAATATCGACAAGAATTGAAGTGGTGGCCATTTGTAGACATATAAAATTTATTAAGTTTAATCTATACAAAATTTGGATTGAATCTTAATTTTATTTGGGTTAAATAATTAATTTGGACTTTACAAATTAAATTAGTCTATTTTATTATTTGCAAGCCCAAGGTCTATTTCATCTTAAGGCCCAGACTCATGCTACGTGTCAAGTGACATGGCATATCCAGTTAAACTCAAAGCCAACAAGATGACGCCACGTGTGAAATGATGTGGAAATCCCAGTCTAAAACAGTGACAATCAAGAATTGCGAAGTGTCTAAAATGACATGTCTTGGCCAATCACAAGAAAGCTTATCCAATAGCTTATGTGATAAGTTTGATGATTCACATGAGCCAATCGGAATCAAGCAAGAGAGTTCATATGTAGCTGGATTGTCCATCCTTTACCATTATAAGTAGAGGGGTTCCATAACTTTTTGGGGACATTCAGACTTGGAGAAGAGCATCTGCAATTGGTGAAGGCATCCACAAACAGAGAGATCAATCATCAAGTGCAAATTTCTTCAACAAAGGAGTGATCAACGGAGTTCTTCTCGGAGATCAACCCAAAACAACGAAGCACTGCTCAGTGTTCTTAGTGATTAAATACATCACAAGGAGGTCTGCATCATCTTACATTCGAGAAAGACGCTTCTCAAGCCCTCGAATCACGGAGAATTTCAAAGAGGAGAATCAAGGGATACATAGAATTGTACTCATAATATTCATCAATAAAATATCTTTTTCTTCATATTATTTTTGTTGCAGTTTATTTTTCGTACTACGAAAATTTATTGCGAACAAATTTTGGCACGCCCGGCGGGACCAAATATGCCCTTCATCTCTTCTCTCACGGTGAAAAGAATGTCGTGTCTTCTTTGCCGGTACTTCAAGCCTCGTCTACGACAATCTTGTAAGTCTACGCCCCGACAAGCCTTGAAGTATGGGGCATTTATAGACATCAAAATTTTATCGGATCAAATCCATATGAAATATAGGAAAAATCCTAAATTTAACATACTCTATCTGAAACCCTAACTTAGAGGCTACTCTACCTGAAATCCTAGATTGGAGGGTACTCTACCCAAAACCCTAGCTACACCTATAAAAGGGGGCCACATATTCCCTTTGTAAGCATCTCGAAATTTCATAAAAATCAATGGAATATTCATAAAGAGATCAAGGACATCAAATATTGTCTTTCTCAAAGCTACCAAAGTGATCAATGGATGTTCTTTCTTTTCCTGGAGGTCAAATACATCCCAAGGAAGCTCGCATCATTCTACGTCGAGTAATATGTTGGTTAAGCCCTCGAATCACGGAGAACAATCTAGAGGGAAGAATCAAGGGAACAAACAAAATTGTACCTGCATCATTTTATCAATAAAATTATGTTTCTTCATATTTATATTGTGGTTACAATTTATTTAAGTATCACAAATAATTTGTTGCAAACAATTCTACTTACAAAGTTTTTAAAGACCTATAAGTATTCAAACACAATTCTACTTGGAACAAATTTGAACTCAAAAATATTTTTTCAAAGAAGAAAAAGATTATGTAAATGCTATTGTATTAACAATGCATTCCCTCTCTTGGGTTAGTTGTAGTTCGAACTTGTTTTGGGCCTCAAAAGACATGCACATAGAGAGAAATGGACTCGATGCGTTGTAGACAATTACATACATCCCTAGAGCAACAAATTGGGCCTTTCTAATAGTGCGGTGCAGGCATGGGCTCACAGCTTTTAACAGGGGCTTTTGCATCTATACCCGATTTTGGGGTCATAATTGAACCTATACATACTTTGCAAAAAAGTTTGCAAGCGTACCCACTTTACGATCAACTTCAGACTTATGGGTCTGAAGTTATAAAAAATGCTTGAAGTGAAAAAATTGCACTTCAAATGCACTTAAGGCCAAATAGGTCTGAAGTGCAACCAATGGTTTCATGCACTTAAGGCTAATAAGTCTGAAGTGAAAAATTGCACTTCAGATGCACTAAAGGCCAATAAGTTTGAAGTGAAAAATTGCACTTCAGATGCACTCACGGCCAAAAAGTCTGAAGTGCAACAAACGTTTTCATTCACTTTAGGCCAATAAGGCTAAAGTGAAAATTTGCACTTCAGATGCACTTAAGGCCAAATTGTTCTGAAGTGTAACCAATAGTTTCATGAACTTAAGGCCAATAAGTCTGAAGTGAAAGCACTTCAGATGCACTTAAGACCAGAAGGTCTGAAGTGCAACAAACGTTTTGCTACACTTAAGGCCAATAAGTTTGAAGTAAAAAATTGCACTTCAGATGCACTTAAGGCCAAAATGTCTTAAGTGCAACAAACGTTTTCATTCACTTAAGGCCAATAAGTCTGAAGTGAAATTTTCCCAGAAACGAAAATTTGTTATTCGAATTATAACAATCCAATATACGATTTAATACCTAAATCTACTCCAAATGGGCTCAAATTTAAAACATAGCCTCCAAATATCATTAGGAACAAACTCGAATCATCAATTTTTCAAAACAACAATAAATCTAATGAACCCATTTTGCAATTAAGAAAAAAAAGAAGAAGAAACCCTAAGCAATAGTAAAAAATAAAACGTCATAACAACTCACCATTGTAAAACATCATAAACTACTTTAAAATATATTCACAACCACCATATAAAATCATTGTCACCCGAAGAAGGAGGAGGAGAAAGATGCCTGAAGTTGTTTAAAAGTGGGTATAGGTAAAAATAAATTAAAAAGTGGGTGGGGGCGACCAAATAGGTCGCCCCATGCAATTTTTACCTTTCAACAATCTCAACTTTAGTTCTATAGTGAATTCAAATTATCACGGCCAAAGATTACTTTTAGCCTGTGTCAGAAATTATTTACATCCGATAGTTGCAAAAGTATATAAAATTTATATATTTTTTGTATATAACATACAAAAAAATTACATATATATATATATATATATATATATATATATATATATATATATATATTCATCTATTATTTTGTGAGCGGCTATACAATGTTATTTTCCATTAAGTTCAATGGCGAGACTCAAGGAGGGGAAGGGGAGGTGAGGCTGGACTCGCAGGTCAACCTTAAGAGGGATGGGGAGATTAATAAAGATGTCACACATCGTATTGGGTCGGAATGGATAAAATGGAGACTCGCTTCCGGTGTTTTGTGTGACAAGAAGGTGCCGCCAAAACTTAAGGGTAAGTTCTACATAGTGGTCAAACCAACGATGTTGTATGGGGCTGAGTGTTGTCCAGTCAAGATCGCTCATGTCCAGAAGATAAAGGTAGCAGAGATGAGGATGTCGAGATGGATGTGCGGGCACACCTGGTTAGATAGGATCAGAAATGAGGTTATTCGCGACAAGGTGGGTGTGGCCCCTATTGAGGACAAGATGCGAGAAGCGCGACTTAGGTGATTTGGTCATGTGAGGAGGAAGAGCACAGACGTCCCCTTGAGGAGGTGTGAGAGGTTGACATTGGAGGGCCTACGGAGAGGTAGAGGTAGGCCAAAGAAGAGGTGGGGAGATGTGATTAGGCAAGACATGGCACAGATTCAGCTGACCGAGGACATGACCCTTGATACGACGTAGATACACGACCCAAACCATTATTCTTTTCTATTCATTATTCTTTTTATTACCAAAGCAAATAACCATACCAAATGCAGATAGCGAAAGAGATGAATCCGTTGTTAGGAATCATTAAATCCTATAAATGATTGTTCGGGTATATCGTGGAAATTTTTTGAAAGACAAGAATCAAATAATTTTCTGTGGTGGAACAAAATATCTCTCATCTCCCCCTCGAATAGATTCTTTCTTTTTTGTTTCCAAAGGAATGTTGTTATGTTGTTTTGAAGGGTGCACTAATCCCTTGAATCCGGTACCAACGGGTATCACCCGGAGGTCGATGATTAGGGTAGTAGAGTAGGTAGTCTAGAGTGTTCATAACAGTAGTATTGGCACACAGTCTCGCTTTCTGTTGGTAGTAGGTTTTTATGCCTAACCATTTTCTTTCATTGTTGATCACCTTATTGTCTTGTTATTTTTATTCTGCTTTTACATGGCTTTTTGGTATTGTCCCTTCTTGTAAATATTTTCATTAATGTGGTGCTTATACTTTCCTGAGCCGACGGCCTATTGGAAACAACCTCTCTATCCTCACAAGGTAGGGTAAGGTCTGCGTACACACTACCCTCCCCAAATCCCACGGTGTGGGATAATACTGGTATGTTGTTGTTGTATACACTATCAGTATAAAACAAAATGGCACCATAAAATTTAGTTGACTTGAATTTCTTAACACATCTTTGAAGTTCTTCTTCATCTTCATTAATACTCCCTCATTTCACTTTTACTTGGCACGTTTTGACTTTTCAAGCCCCTTAAGAAATAACAAATGAAATGCATAATTTACCATGATACCCATATTAATTGATGCATATTTTATTGGATTTGAAAAAAATGCTTTGAAATGAGTAATAAATATTGTGGGTATAATAGAAAAAAAAAATTGTCTTCTCTTGATATGCGTAAAGTGACAAACAAAAATAAAAATCTATTTTTAGTATATATGCCAAGTAAAAGTCAAGGGAGGTGTATAATCTTTAGTATGTTGATCCTCTAAGATGTTCAAAACTGTCAAAACATCCTCTAAAAGCGGGAGAATTCAGGGAGAAATTCAAAAATAGCCAGATTTACGAGGCGTCATTCAAAAATAGCCACAGTTTTAAAAGTAATCGAAATTTAGCCACTTTTCATGTACAGATAAATCTGAACGAAAACACTGTTCAAAATCCGGAAAAATACTCCAGTATAATATACTGAAGTTCCAGTATGATATATCGGTCCATAATATACTGGAGATTGGAGCACCGGTGCTCCAATCTCCAGTATATTATACTGAAACTTTCCGCGTGTTGGAGTTCCAACATAATATGCTGGAAGTTCATACACAGGTGCACCGATCTCCAGTATATTATGCTGGAACTTTCTGTGTTGCAGCAAAATAGTGGCTATTTTTCAATAACTTTGCAAACGCTGACTATTTTTGAATAACTAGTCCAAAAACTGGCTAGCACGTGCTATTTTTACCAGAATTCAACGATACAACCCAACTCGACACTGACCTTCACTTGAAAGGGCCTTAAAAATAGTAGCCCAACTCATTTATCCCCGGTTGGCTCGCAGGCTTTGCTCTTATTTTGTAAAAAAATTGAGTGAAAAAAGATTTCGAAAAGATATGATAAATATGGAGAGTTTTTGACCAATATTGTCCCTTATCTTTGAGGGTAAATCTATTTTGGTCCCTCAAATATGATCCTGAGCATATTTAGTCCCTTAAGTATACTAAAGTGGAGCACCTTTAGTCTCACTAACATAATGTGTAAAAAACTAACGGTATTACCCAACTCTGATTCATGAAGCAAATCTTCTGCTCTGAAGCAAAACGTTTCCTCTCGTTTTATTGGATAACATAAATTATCACTTGAATTCCTTATTTTTAGATAATGTCTTCTAAAATTTTGACCTTGAATATACCCCCTCCTGCGCCAGTTTTCAATGCGAAAATAACACTGTATAGCTGCTGTAAAAATAATAGCCGAAAAAATATATTAAAATTATATATTTTTATATATATATATATATATATATATATATATATATATATATATATATATATGTATATATATG